CACAACAGCAATCAACTTAATCCCACAGATTCCAGAACTACTTGCGTTACATGCTTGAATGTCGGTGGACAAATCTTCTGAAACTTCTCTCTGTGATGGCTAGATGTTTTAGAAAAATGACTTTTTTCTACCAACAACGGCACAGATTTACCACTTAAGTACAATCGATTTGTAAGGTCTTCCACTTGGAAGCGCGACCCTAAACTCATTTGATTATTCATTACCTCAATTTCTTTCCAGGCTCCATATTTTCCTATAAAAGTTGCAAACGAAAACCCGGTCATAAAAGCATCAAATCCTGCTCTGTGCTTCCCTTCTGCCATATGTCTATTTGAATTGCTCTTGTCCAAAGATCGCTCTTTAATCTCAGTAGCAGTATTTAGTTCTTGTTTACTACCTGCCTCAATATGCATTAAGCATGCATTTATCTCCTTTTCTTCACACTCCATTTCATTTGTTTCTTCATTTATTTCATGTTCTTGGCAATGTTTATTGTCACTATTTAACACTGAATCTTCTGTATATTTGTCATCAATGTCTTTTTCATTTCCACTATGTTTTCTTTTTCGGTTTCGTTTACGCTTCCTTTTTCGTTGGTTTAAATGCTCATTGTCTAGGATGACATCAGGATTGTGTGAATATGGACAGGAGATTCCTCGGGAACACCAACCGTGGCTCTTTAAGAAACAAATTGAAATTATTATTCAAACAATGGTATAATAATACGGTCCTTCTTAGTAGAGTTGGTGTTTGCCAAGCCCCCAATAAAACAAAATTTTGAAATTCTAGGTGCACTTTTTAATCTTTTTTTAGCAAAAATGTATTTTTTTTAACCAAAGAAGAGTCCAAAATACCCTTTATACCAATGTACAGTAAATGTATTGTTGTTGGCAATAAAACCTAGAGTTAGACTTATGAGTTTATTAAAAAAAAATGCTGACTAACCAACTCTGATTAACAAAACAAACCCTTTCAGGCTTCATTTGAAATCTTTAAGAATAGCGTATTTGTCTAGTACTCTTAATTATAGGTCAAATTATATGAATGATATGACAACGTTTTTCAAAATAGACAAAAGATCCCCCTTTTTTTGCTGTCAATGAAATCCAAAACTTACCCCATACTGTTTGCAAAACTCTATGGCTGTTTGTTTCCCCATGTTATCATTTGGTTGCTGCAAATTAGCAGGTAATTTGCAATGTCTGAACTCTTTAACCAAAGAAGAGTCCAAAATACCCTTTTTACCAATGTACAGTAAATGTATTAGTGTTGGCAATAAAACCTAGAGTTAGACTTATGAGTTTATTAAAAAAAAATGCTGACTAACCAACTCTGATTAACAAAACAAACCCTTTCAGACTTCATTTGAAATCTTTAAGAATAGCGTATTTGTCTAGTACTCTTAATTATAGGTCAAATTATATGAATGATATGACAACGTTTTTCAAAATAGACAAAAGATCCCCCTTTTTTTGCTGTCAATGAAATCCAAAACTTACCCCATACTGTTTGCAAAACTCTATGGCTGTTTGTTTCCCCATGTTATCATTTGGTTGCTGCAAATTAGCAGGTAATTTGCAATGTCTGAACTCAACAAAGTCCACCTCATTTGGATAAGAACAGAATGATATCTCAATGAACCTCTGACCTGAAGTGCTCATTACTGCATTCTCCCTTTGACTGAAAAATAGAGAAGGTAGTAATTGAAACAAAGAACAGTGGCGGATTCAAGGGGGCCCTGCTAGCCTGGACTTCCTAAACTAAAATAAACTAAATCCTTTCTGAGCCACTAGGGTTCATAGGGCTGGAGCTTATCCCCGGTTTCTGTAGTGTGAAGCGGATAAGAGTTGTACTCCCCCTGGACGGGACACTAGTCCGTCGCAGGTTAGTCCCCAGCAGTTTGCTGGTACCCATTGATACAGCTGGGTGGACTGAAGCAATGTAGCTAAAGTGCCTTGCCCAAGGACACAAGCAAATCTGCACAGCGGAGACTTGAAACCCCGACCTTATGATTGAAAGCCCGAACCGCAACCGCTGCGCCAAACTGCGGCTACTCCTGGGACTCCCACCCCCCTAAATTTTTAGAAAATTACATTTTTTAAATGCTGAAAAAAAAAGAAAATTATATTAAAATTGAAGTCTCAGAGTACCACCATTTCCGGTAATTTGGTGGTACCCTAATTACAAATTTATTTACATTAGCCCTGACCATGGTGGGGCTGAGGTTATAATATAGACCCTCAATCTGTGAAAGTCTGTCCTTGGGTCCCTCTACTTCAAAATCCTGAATCTGCAACTGAAGAATATGGTCTTACAAGAAATTTAAAATAGTACCATTTATGCTACAATATCTTAACAATATTTCAAAATGAATTAGTTAAAAACAACACAGATTACAGCAGATATACAGCATGAAACAGTACCTCTTCCCTCAAGGAAAAAGTATAACTGCATTCTTAAAATGCATGTGTAAAAAACAGACATTTCATTAAGACACCAGTAAACTCGCCTACTAGCAAAGCCGCTCCTTACAACTTTCCACTTAAAAACTCTCCCCTTACAAACTTGCACGTTTGATAGGATGAGAGTATGTTAGGCCGTGACTTTGTCAGGAGGAGACTTCGCAGGGGGAACTTAGCAAGGGGTGACTTTGTATGTTCATGGGGCAAGTTTGTGAGGGGTGATACTTCTAAGGGGAGAAGTATCTGGTTGTCATGCTGTTAATCTGTTCTTTGCCTAAATTCCAGAGGTGGCTTTATTGTTCATGCTTTATATTTGAGATTAGAGTAGTATACCCATGAAATAAATTTTTAATAAATAAAGCAAATAACATAAAAGGTGTCTCAGAAACATTTTCTGCTAAATGTTATGCTCACCTTTTTCTGAAGACATACTCTAAGTAAGTTGCATGCATGCGTGACTTATACTCTGCAATGTATTTTGTGTCATAAATGCCTCCAGCAAACATCTCTGAAATGTCTGCAATGAATGATAAGTAGTTGGCCGGTAGAGGGCAGTATAAATTTTGATACAAAAATACAAGATCTACAAGGCCATTGTGGAGTACAATAGCCTTTTTAGTGGCGATGATTTCTTGTACAAGCTCTCGAACATTCTGCTTCGGCATTTTGCTTTCCTGCAAGAATTAGATATTTCTACATCAGTTGTAAAGAAATGAAATTGCAGTTAAGTTAAATACAATTAATCAAACTGCCAGTACATACATACATAACATCATAAACATCAGTATTTCTATCTTGTGCCAAAAGCCATATCACTTTAACTGATATAATATGGTAAGCATATATACATAATAAATGAAGGAAG